TTTTCAAGTCTAAAATTACCGTTTTTTGCGAGATTTTGCTAAAATAAGCCCAAAAAGCAAGTTTTTTTAGCGATTTTCGACAGTATTAGAAAAATTTAAATTATACTCTTGTTAATTAGTTGAGAAATAGTTTTATATGTTTTTTTATGAGATTTCACTCCTAACTGTTGTTTTTGAGATTTCACAAGTTAAAAACTTTTCTTGCATGTTAATTGAAGTCATTTCAAATGTTTAGTCCCCTGAAAAATATTAATTTCGCTTGCATAGATTATTTTTAAAAATGTTTGCACTCTCAAAGCAACAAAAATCGAAATTAAACTTTTATACACAATTTCATTTTGTGGTCTGGAATAGAATTATAATTATTTTGAAATACGAGCTTTTTTGGAAAGCTCGCAACAACTCTCAACTTGAGTCTTGTGAATATTGAATAGGGTCATGAAAAGCTCTTATTCCCGTCCTGGATGCAGGCAAGCATGTGGTGTGGTGGGTCGTGTCGCCGGCTCACAGCACAGCCGGCAGAAGGGCACAGCTGCAGTCGTATTTCAGCCGGCGAGGGTGCTCAACTAACTCATTTTTCTACTAAAATCGTGTTATTTTGGCTGTGAAAATGCTTTTCGAAAACTCACCTAGTGCCCAAATATTCCCCGCGTACAGTGTACCACCCCCAATACTGCCTCTAGCGCCGCCGCCCGTTAGGTGAGTCAAATCTTACACACAAGCATGTACTTACTATACAGGGTGTTCCATTTTTATTGCTACAAATTTAACCAGGTGATGGGATATTCAATTCTAAGACAAAAGTTGTTTGGTAAGGGAGCTACACCCCCTGAAAGGGGTGGCCAATACACCTAAACGAATTCAAACATCAAATGTCGAAATTTTTAATCAGGGGCGTCCGAAACTGGTGGGGTTTAGGGTAAAAAAATACCCTATTTATCACTTTGAACAACTCCTTTAGATTTAGGCAAATTCATTTAATTAATTATTATTGTTACTGTAAGGTAATGTTAATTAGTTGAGATTGATTAAAAAATATTAATTTCTTGCTTTTATTATTCTGTAAATTCTGATTTATTTGAATGTTGTATTGGTGTGTAACATAAATTTTAAATTAATTTTATTCAAAAAACTCAAGAGAGACTTTCCTGTGATAAACTATCGAATTTAAGGTTTTGTTGCTGAAAGTACCGAGAAACTAAAGCCAAAATAAATAGGGTATTTTTTTACCTTAAACTCCCCCAGTTTCGTACGCCCCTGATTAAAAATTTCAACATTTGATGTACCAAATTTTGTAATTTTATCTTAAATGGTTTCTGGGGGGTGTAGCTCCCTTACCAAGCATTTTTCGACACATGTTTATAGGAAACTTTTGTCTTAGAATTGAATTTCCTATCAGCTGTTTAAATTTGTAACAATAAAAATGGAACACCCTGTATACAGAGAAAACAACGTTCAAACAATAGCTTGTCCCCCTCTTGGGAGGTAACGATTTCTAGTGCAGACTGTACTAGGCTGAAAAGCAGCATCTTGTTGTATATTGCAATTCACGCTGAAAGCAAACTTCTCTTCTACCTGCTTGGTTTGGGTTCATATTTATAGGTACAAAACACGATGGTTGTATTCCTTCCTTTCTACTATAATAATCCCGTAGAAATTTTACACGGTTTTATTTTTATTATCTTTCTTTTCCGCTACGAATATGTAAATATTGATTTATCGAAAGGTGTCTGGTTTGTTTTGGTTTTTCAACTAACTTTGGTGTTGTCATCGCCAAGAATTTACGTGTTAATGACTCCTTTTAACTAAATTTACTGAAAATTGTGTAGAAATAGAGTCGAGTATTTTTTGTAATACAATAGTTTTTGACATTTAATATTATCGTAGATAAAAACAGATTTTTGTAGTCTGATTGTTGAGAATTCCCGTGTTACGAAATAGCTTGTAGACTAGGTAAAAATAAAAAGGGTACAATTCTTCGAACTGAGAACAATGAGATTTACAATTCGGATTAATTAATTTTCCAAGAATACGTTTGTTCTCTCCCGGAAACTATTATTAAGATCAGAAACGTTATCCACAGCCGGTAGCACAAAGAAATGAAAAGAAATCATTTTTGTGTTTTTTTATATTTATTACAGTTTTATGCAAATAAATACTCTTATTTTATAAATACTTACCTTTTAAGTTTATGGAATTATTAAAATTATTATTGGATTGTCTTAATAATTACTTGTGAATTAATGGGATTTTTCTAGAATTTTCGGAGATAATTTCTTTTGAAAGTTGCACTGAACTTCTTAAAACTTTCAGAAATAAGTTGGAATTACAGGAATTGCTTTAATCTGGAATTACCATGGTTTAATTGAATTACCGGAATTACTTGTAAATTACAAAATTACGTTGAATATCTTAGAAGTATCGTAATTAATTTGGAATTACAGAAATTATTTTGATATTACTAAAATTAAGTTAGGATTATGGAAATTATGTTGGAATTAATTTAGTATTAAAGGAATTAATCGGAAAACAATGGAATTACGATGAATCCATTATTAATCAATAGAATTACTGAAAACTTTTAATAGAATTTTTTTAAATTACTTTCCGGAATTATGTGTAAATTGCTGGATTTTTTTGATATTTATTTTTTGAAAACTTACGTTGAACTTTTTAAAATTATCAGAAATAAATTGGAATTACAGGAATTAATTTGAAATTGTAGGAATTAATCTGAAAATTTAATGATAATAAAATTAGTTAAATTGAATTTCGGTGAAATTTCTCTGAATAAGAATTACAGGAATTGATTTAATCTGAAAGCAATGGAATTACCATGAATTAATAGAATTACTGGAACCGAATTACCAGAATTACTCGAAAATTCCAAAATTGCCTTTTTGAATATCTTAAAAGTATCGTAATTAATTTGGAATTACAGAAATTATTTTGATATGTATTAGGTAAATTAAGTTAGGATTATGGAAATTATGTTGGAATTAATTTAGAATTATAGGAATTAATCCGAAAACAATGGAATTACGATGAATCCATTATTAATCAATAGGATTACTGAAAAATTTCAATAGAATTTTTTTTAATT